CCCCCCTCCTCTCTCTCTCTCTCTCTCTCTCTCTCTCTCTCTCCCCCCACCCAGAACGGGTACATTTTCTCACGCGCATCTATTCTGGAAAAAGTTTGTCATTTTCGGCGACTCGCCGAAAATAACAATCGCGCACAGAATGTCTTAAATCTCCGCACCTTCGTTGTGACAGAAGCGATCGATCTACGACGGAGAGATAAAATCGAACTCTACTCCGAATTCCGGCTACTTGCTGCGTTCTCTTTTCTTCTAAATTACAGTTCCATCTATAAAACAGACAGAAGGGAAAAATTGAGAGTAGTTAAATCGGGATCGACGTCGATCGATCTGAAAACGCCGTGGCTGAGTAACGTCCGAATCGATAGACCTCGCGCGATGCATATCACCGATGACAGACGAATAGGTATTGAAAGGTCGCCGATTCCAATTGCCGACATGCGGGGACACGCGGACTCAAACCCTATCCAAATGCCTTTCCTTCTCGTACCCGTGACTCGATTAGCCAGAGAGAAATGCCGCTTCATCATTCTCCCTTTCAGCCTGTACACGCATCGGCATAAATGCCGTCCCTATTCGTGTGAGACGCGCACACGCAAACAAGCGGGTGACTAATGCGGGGTCTACAATGAGAGTCGCAGAGTCGCAGTCGTAAGAATAGTGGACTATGGATAATTTTTATGCGCCTAACTAACTTTACGACTTCTAGTAGACGAAGCTTAATCCGATCGTCGAATGACCGATATGCGACTTTCGGATTGATCGTTCGCTTGTCGTGTGCGTGCGCCTCACACGGATAGGGACGGCATTTACGCCGGTGCGTGTACATGACGCGACGCGACGCAACACATTTAGACGCCTTTTGAACCTTTCGATCGCACATTCGGGACACGATTCGCGCAACCTCCCGCGCGCGTAACAGAGAAAAGTCGCGAGAAGTCGAGAGAAAGCGCGTCGTCCACTCGTAGCGAGACTCGAGGCAACGGCACCGAATCGCGAGGGAACCGGCCAAGGAAGAAACGTCTCGCGTTTATACGCGCATACAGGACACCTCGAGAACACCTCGATTATTGAACACTTGGGGTAGTTTTGGGGCCTGGGCCGCCGAGCGAGCGTCGCATTTCCGCTCGTCTCGACCCGCGTTCGCCACCACCTTACTCGCCGAGAACGCCATTTCCTCGCGGTTATTTTAACACGTCGTTGTAACTATGTAACCGCGATCGCCCCATTCTCTTCGCAAAGCAACACGCTCGCCCGTTTAAATATATCAAGCATCTCATCCCGACGCAAACGAAACAAAAAGTCGATTATTGATTCGCTAAGAGAGTGGAACGATTGCCACATCCGATCGCTACGAGTGTCTTCAATCACGTTTCACGCTTCTTTTAACGATAAACGAATAGTTGAGAGACATTTCCTGCTCGTCATTTCCTTCTTATCTCACTTTCGTGTATCAGAAATCGTATACCGTTAAAGGAAACTCTGCTCGTTCAGACATTCTCATATTCGTGTCTTCTCGCCCACAACGAGCAGCGCGATCGCCTTGTCGGAGCAAACGCGAGCAACGACTGAGAAAAGCCCTCGAGGGAAACGAGGAGGGAGGACATGTTATTCGTATGTTTTGCTTGCGAGATCGCATCGATGACAAGTCTCGGAACGTCCCGGTCCTGGTCCCGGTCCCGGCCCCGGCCCGAAAAAAAGTCGCGTGGCAGGTTTTTTAAGTCACGATTGTGTTGTTCGACACTACACGCACAACGCACAACGCACAACGCACATGCACGCGCACGCATACCACACGGCCGTCCGTGGCTGGCTGACAGAGATCGCCAATTCGCTGCTACACAGGGCGTTCCGCGTTGTGGGGGGGGATCAATGATTTATAGCGAGCTGTCCCGCTCTGGCGTTTTAAATCTATGAAAAACTAAGAGAAGGAATTTTTATACTCTTCATTTAGCTTTTATCTAAGTAAGAACGTTTCTTTTTTTTTCACTTTTTCTGCTCCGCGCGCGGCCTGTCTCTTCCTTTTCCTACATCCTGCATAGCACATCGTTAATACAAAGCATTCACCCGCTTTATTGAACATTATCGTGTTTCTCCCCCTCTCTCTCTCTCTCACACACACACTCTCTCTCTCTCTCTCTCTCATCATTCTTTTCCTTAGCGCGCGCGTTAATCAATAACGTTTCGTAATTTATTTATTTTTTCGGATAGCGTGCGGCAGATTCTCTTCTTCTTTTTTTTCCTCTTCTTCTTTCGGTTCGCTGGCAACCAGGCTGCGACCTCTCATCGCTCTACCATCCGCATGCGCAATTAAATAACGTATCGCTTATTAGTCCGTCCTCATCAATCGGTATATAGTGATCAGTTGATACTTATTTTATATATACTGTCCACACATCTTTTTGCCGTCCACTATCTATTTCTTCCACCTGCTGCTCGAGCTCGACGAGACGAACCATCCCACTCTCTCTCTCGGTTAGAACCAACCTCGGCACCTTTCTTCTATTCTGCCTTACAGTGTGTGTGTCGCGTGTATCGATGTGATATTAAACTCACGCTAAAAATTGTAACTACTGAAACTACGCGATACGTTTCTCGCCGTTGTTTTCCTGATAGCTATGCGGATTAAGACTCAAAACCGAACGTATGTCGTTTATTAATAATAATAAATACTGCGAATGCGGTTTTATTTAATTATATTTTATTATTTTTTATTTCATTTAATTATTTATCATAACTCTTTCTCGCTCTCTTTCTTTCTTTCTCTCTCTCTCTCTCTCTCGCTCTCTTTCTCTCTCTCTCGCTCTCTCTTTCTCTCTCCTTTATTTTAGTTATTTTATCATGACGTATGACTATAGACCGTACCTGATACCTGTCATATCAGGTCCTTCGTTACAATTAACAATTAATTTTCGTATGAAGTATTTCAACGCGTCACGCGAAATCCCTAAGAACTTTTTTAACGGTTCTCCTGTTACATTGAGCACTTTCTTTCTTTGCTCTTTCGCGTCGGTCTCTGATCCTCTTGTTTTTCAGTGAGTCTCTCGTCTCTCGTCTTCCAACTAAAGTTCTTCTCAATGGAGGACGTGTTGAGTGTGCCGATCCTAGCGTACCGATATTTTGCGCGCATTGATCGACGATCAACGAAAGCCTATTATCAAGTTTCGTAGTAACGCAAAGATATCTACGATAATACGCCACTAGTAGTAAGAAGTCGCGTGAATGTAGTAAATCGCATTCGACATACATAAGGACGCACATGATTCCGTAATTCTCGATCGCGCGTAAACGCCTCGCCTCGTCTCTTTCGAGTATGTCCGTTTTCGCTGCCATCCCGGATTTCCGTTCCCCTCGCCGTTTCGGCTTCCTTTTCGCGTTTCGTCGCGTTATCACGTTTCTTTAGGCCTGACACTCGTGCATCAGTCGCGTTGCGACGCTATCCAACTCAGCGATTTTCTATTTCATTCTCTCGTTCCTTCGTTCCATCTTCGAGTGACGCTTGCAGAATATATCCTGTCCAGAATATGACAGCAGCAGCAGCACCCGTCGTCACCGGAAAGCCCCGTAGTCGTGTTGTAATCGAATGCAGAAAGGAAAGCGTGGCCTTTCGATTAACATCGTTCCCATAGTAATAATGGTGGAGTCCCCCCGACGATATACCTTCTCCCCCATCTTTCCAACACCGGATCAATTTCTGAGACTGCGAAACTCGGCACGCGCGTGCAAGCAATTGGCAGCGAAGCCAGAATGACGAGCGTGCTCTTTGTACCTCGCGCTGTACCTATATAGCACTAGAGGGTCTTTTCCGTGTCCGTATAATTTCGCGCCTTTTGTGTCGTGAGAGCCAAAGACTTGGCGCGTACCTTCGTTGTCCACCCGTTGCTCTCCTGACACGCGACTCGGATAGACCCAGTAGCAACATCCCTTGTGAAATGTGTTACATTTTGTTCAATATGAGTGATTTACTTATTTTTCTTTTTTTTCAAGTGTATCTCTCTCAGGTGTGAGTATGCGTCTCATTCTCTCATCCTCTTTCTCTCTCTCTCTCGCTCTCCCTCCCTTTCTCTCTCTCTCTCTTTCTCTCTCTCTCTCGCTTCCTCTCATCCTTTTTCTTTCACTCTCTCGCTCTCATACTTTCGTCCGTTCATTCATTCTCTTGCGCGCGCGTTCTGCATGCGTGTGATTTAATCCTTTTTTTTGCGTCTAATAGTAAGTTTCTTGCTCGAGCCAGCCGCCTGGATTTCGGCGGAGGTAGAATCGTCTCGTTTCGTCGTAGATGAAGATGGCGAACATGAACGGTAGAGCTGGCAGCCACCATACAAATCTGCAACGTACGTAAATTACGTGTTGCTACTTTTTCGTTGTGTCGCATTCTAAACTGCCAGTTTAAAATTCATTATAATACAATGCTAGATATTTCCAGTAGATTCGAGTAAATATACGATTCAAGTACGAGCTATAAAATCTGCTTCATTACAAACAATATAAAGATGGATAAAAAAATACATACTTTAGTGGGAACATACGAAGACCCTTATCCATGCCGGGCGTGTAACTTAGGAACGCAGCAAGCGCGGTCTCAAACACGAGACCAAAGTTCAGAGCCCAGTTTCTCATTCCCTGGTGAATAATCGAGTTGCGGCGCGTTTTGCAAACAATCAGATCAGCCCATTGCACAATTACGATCGAGACGAAGAAAGCGGTGTGGCAAGTAAACTCCAGCGTTTTGCGATCTCTGTAGGTCTGTTTGTAAAAAAATAAATAAAATTCGCGTCAGTCCATATATTCTTCCAATGAGCAACCGAGTCGAAAAATTTCAAATTTATATCTAATATAAATTCACTATAAATAATTTTGAAAAATTTCTGTTATAATATACGAATGATTTTAAGAATGAACCTAGAGAATATTTGCTTTATCGGCGAAGGACATTTAAACATCATTTTCGTTAATTTCAATTTGCTCCATATTCGATCGATTCTAGATCTACAATATTTACCCATTCCTGGCCGTAGCTGTCGGTAAGATCATTGATAGCCTTGGAATCCCATTGCTTTCGAATGCCAAACAGATACAGAGGCAGGAATCCATTCTCAGCCATAATGACGAAGTAGACGAAGAAGCCGGCCGCGGCTTGAATCATACCGATTTGACCGTATGCCATCGAAATAAGCCTAGATACAAATAAATTCATTAAAAAAATTTTCTCCTGCAATCGATGTTAGCTTTCGAAGAATCCTGCTTTTCTGCCGTGAATCAATGTTAAAAGGAAAACGGAGATTTTATGCAATTCTCGGTAACGAGATTTCTACATCGATATAGAATTTCAAAGTTTGTAGCAAAAGAGCTTTAAAAATTAAATTCAATTAAAGATTGAGTGCTCAAGTTTTCTCAAAAGAGTGAGCGACGAGATGAATTTCTTAAAAGTGATTTTCGAGCAGCAACCATCCGGGCGAATTTTGCTCCTTGCAAATGGTTCTCGATAGCAAAAGGGGCTGCCGCGTTTCAGGATCCTTCGGAAGCTAGGAAATCTTTGTCACATCAATCGTACGACTTTGATGTTATTTCTAATAGTCTAAGTTCGTGTTAAAATTACGGAAGCCATAGTCACCGGTTAGGGGCAAAATGCAGATTACTTACCAATGGGTAGACGATTAACGATCGATTCTTGACAGTGAGGCATGCCACACAGAGCAGACAGATCAGACAGACAGACAGACAGATCAAATCAGATCAGATCAGATCGAATCAGATCAGATCAGATCAGATCGGACAGATAGTCAGACAGATAAGATAGACAGACAGACAGACGAGTAGCCACAGCTGTTGCTTGCCAATTCTCACGATGGCAAGTTGCATGGTTAACATTGAAGCTGCCTATTTCCCGTTAATTCCTTCCCGCTAATGCTTCGCACTATCAAAGCTTACCCCGCACACGGTTCCAGTCTAATTTGTGAGTTAACGTTACAACGAAGTGATTGGCACAAGTATCTTACACCGTAATCAAAATTTTCAAAACAAAAATATAGACCACGCCCATAATGTGTACGATTTTAAATATGATTTTCCATCTCACATTTAAAATAGATCTTACAAACGGACGGACTTGATCTCTACTCTTGCTTCGAATTGCCATTCGATACAATAATAATCTGGCTAGATACAAATGGAGGAACAGAGAAATCTATCTATTGTTATTATTAATGCAATGTCGCAAATAATTATGTAACGTTATCAATCATTATTAGTACGAATTGTACTTAACTAATTGCAAGTGACAGGTTGTCATCAAGAAAGACAGAAACACACATTTCTTACTTTTTAATCCGCAAGTGCAATTATAATCTATAAAGATAATTAATTAGTCAGATTATTGATGTGATCAAACTATGGAGTAACTTTGTAACTTTTGCATTTGCTTGTTTTTCCGCAACCAACTACTAAACTTGCTACAAGTCGCAAGTTTAGTCAGGTTGCGGTATAATCAATCGACATGACCAATCAATTGTCAAAGCAATTAGTGTAAAACAGCATGCAGCGAGTATCTGTAGTAGTTAAGCCAAGGAAGCGAATCGCATGTGACTGCGATGAATTAGTTATAGTTAGATTAGTCGTACTGAGTCGGCGGTTGACTCGTCAGATCCAAGTCAATGGAAGATGTTTGAGAGTTTGTATAATAATTCTTTTAACGAGTTGGTGTTTGCACAAGCGTGCCAAAGGCATCGCAATGTCAAGTGTAAAAAAGAAAAGGTTGCAGCTCGGCGACAATGAAAAGTCCCGACGTCGAGGCAATCGTCGGATAACAAAGCGGCAGAAGCCGGTAATTGTAATGCGATCACGGTTGTTCGCGGTAAAGAAAGAGGCTGCCCAAGCCGTGCATGTCGAGCCGTTCGTTCTCGAAAGCTGCTCTCTAACTGGGCGGTGACTCTCGTAACTGGGGTTGCTCTCTAACGTCAATGAGAAGTGTAAAAAAAAGTGAAAGATCAAAGATAGCGAGAAAGAAAACATTCGAGGCGAAACGTGCACTCCGCGGAAAACTCGTCGGTAACCCGAATTCACGGTTTTACATCCGACAATATTGACCCTCCGTTTACCGTGGGGTTCCATTAGGCCTACATCTGTCTCTGGAAATGTTATCTTTTATCCAATTGATACAGGACGAATAATTTATGATATTCGACAATGTAACATGTACAAATATCATGTTATAAAATAAAATATTGTACATTCCGACGTCCGATTGTGGAATAAAATCTCCAGAAACAAATGTAGATTCGTTGAACCAGACAATCGGCAGACTAAGGAGCGATGCTGTCAATATGGATTGAATTTTTGCAATTACTTATACAGCTTTCCCGTATGTTGAATAATATCTGTAATTAGAGCGATCAAATATTAGAGTAGTCAATTATTGACAGCAATACTGACAAAGTTTCTGATGTTCTCGCCTGCGATTTGCGCGCATACACCTTGTGCAACGATTAGAAAAAAAAGTAATAACACGTATAAAATTGAAGCTAACATCTCAGTGTTAGTCGTTAATCGAATAAGAGACTTTAGACGTGTCTAAAAAAGCATTCGGCATTCTCAACATCTGACAACTGTTCTCTATAGGTAAAACTTGCTTGTGCTCTATGCTAGTCAACTAGATTCCTAAAGTCGGATGTAATTTGTCTGCTGACACAGAGTGTCTACCGAGTGCGTTTCATTTGCAATCCAAGAGCTTTGAAAGAAGTGAAGTTGGGCTTTTATCAATGTTTTACCATCGTTTTACCAACGAGTGTCTCAAAAACTTGACAATCTTGAAAGAAGTATAATTTTATTTCAGTTGTCTTCTATATAATTAAAAAAGCGTGTAACGCGTTACGGAAAGAGAAAGATAAAAGAGAAGGGAGCAGTATGCTACGACTTATCACCAAAGTCGGTAGACACTCTGTTACGTGCTATTATGTGTTAAGTGTGTACACATTGCGGTCCAAGTTAGAATCGCACAATAGCCGTCCCAGGACAGTTGTTACTGCATCATGCAGGTGAATAGAACGCAGCGCGCGTAGACGAAGAATTCTAGGATGGCTGGTTACTTCTAACTCGGTTCACAAGCACATTCACTGTGTGCGTGTATGTGTGTGCGTGTATGTTTTGTGTATGTGTGTGAAAGTGTCTACTATCGTCAGAGCAGTCAACTATTATCGGAAACGCGACGTTACGTACGTAAAACGCGTTTTATCCTGTTAGCACGCAACACCGCTAATAGCGTTGTTTCACCTCCGTTAGTAATTATCATCGATCAACCCTTTGTTGGATATCAGGACATTATTAGGTATAGTCTATCTCTTCTAATCTATCCTCAATCGTTGGTACTATCGGCAATCGGGCAATATTCGCGCATGCTGGGAATCGAACTTTCCGGCTGTTACTTCGAGTTTCTACTTGCCAAGCAAAGGATCAATCACATCTGACGGCCCTGGCGGATGTGCCAAGTGTGTAGGTGTATGTGAAATAAGTATTATAGATAGTAGTGATAACGGTAAAAACGTGTATGTGAGTTGACACGGTACGGACGTAAGTGCAATAGGTTTCTGTTGGTTTCTTTTATTAGGTGGGTAATTGGGAGACCCACCTTCGGTTGACAAGATTGTCTCTGTAAGGATCGCGTGGCTGCCGTTTCATTATGTCCGACTCCGGTGCCTCGTAGGCTAGCGAGATGGCCGGCACCTGCCATCCACCACTGATTAGAAAGTGTGCTAACTACCCCTCACCGCATTACAAAGAAGTTATATGCAAGAGATATTATACCATTATTGGTGCTTTATGCACATACACTCTCGGTAACGTGTATGTACGCGCAGTGCGAGCGAAAGAGACAGAGGAGACTTGGAGATCGCACAAGACAGTTCAGCGTCGGTCATATTGGCGTTTTCATGCGATACTTTCGAAACACCCGAAAGTTGAGTCTTTCAGGGTGCTCGAGAAAGCAACCGCAGCGACCGGTTTCCATCCTAAACGCAGCCCGTTTTAGATACGAATCGCTCTTGTGGACAATGGCGATTATAGTGTTGGAAAATAGTGCCGTTGGTAAAAATGAAAACGTTAGAAAATTGTGGTAAAAATGCGTAAAATTGTGTCCAAGTGTAGCGGAGATGACCTGGACAGCAGCGAATATCAGCGAGTGTATTTGTGCATTGAATAGATCAGGCGCTGCGTTTAGACAGGCGACCCAGAAACGGCCCGGAAGAAAGAAGTTGTTTGTGCTATATTTGAGGCAAGTGAAAAAAGGTGTCGTGATTGTAATTAGACACGCGGGCCTTTTTTCACTTTGACATTTTCATCTCCGATCGTTACCATCGGTTCTCGCAGTCTCCGATTGAATTGTTCTCAGCGATGCTCGATGAATCACACACACACATAGGGACAAAAGCGTTGCGATAATCCCAATGTTACAGCAGGTTCCAATAAACAATTACGTTACGTATACTACAAATTTCGTTGGACACGCTTACGTTTTTTTTGTTTCAAACTGAAATTACAAAATTAGTCTGAAATTACTTTCTTTGAAGCGTCATCAAAGCCTACAAAATCTAAGGGGTAAATGTAACGGCAAGCGAGATATATGGGCGTCATCGAGCACTTCTGGGAGGCAAGTGAAAAAAATCCCTTTTCTCTTTCGTGCACTTCGAGTACGACCTCAAGCTTTCGTTAATATCGCGGCGCAACCCCCTGATGCACGCAATCATTCTCATCGTTGTGAAGGATAAGAGCCAACGAGTCATCGGACAAATTTCAAACAGAATGCATACACGTTTGTGCACGAGGGGGCCACCACACGGCAATTTCCCACTTCCAATTAACATACACATATAAATTCCCCCGTTTAGCAAATGTCTTTGCAAAAGTATATCAGTCGTTTCAGCACCCATTAGAAAGTTGCCAGTCGCAGAGTGGGTAGAAGGCAGCGGCAGTAGGCAGCGCATTACAGAATAAAACGTGAGAGGACTGTAAAGAATTAAAAACTGCAAGAAAAGTTCATGACGCTCAAAAATGTACAAAAGTGTCTTTCTCTTTTGGCGGTGATATATGGTGGCAAGTAACGAACAGTATAGTAAATAGTAAGTATAGTAATAGTAGTAATATATAGAGGTAGTAGCAGCGGCAGCTGTGATATAGTAGATAAAATAGTAATGGCAATAAAAATTCAGTAACTATACGTAACTGGATGCTGGCTTGTGGTTGTAATAATAATGATGATAATAATAAGACTAGTAGACGAGGACAAGAGTAATAATGGTAATAATTACTGAGCATCAAAAATTAATGTAAATATATAATATATATATACATATCTATATACATAATATATACTACTCCTGCAAGAAGATTGTCAAAACTCAATCAAGTTCCATTCTTTCTTCTACTCTTTGTAATTGCAAGATATGCTACTACACAAGTCAAAATTGTATCCAACTGACATGAGCGAAAAGTGACATGCTGCTAAATTATCCTAGAAAATCGCATTACTTTCATGAAAATTTACTTTCGAGCTTGCAGTAATGTTCTTCCAGGAGTGTGCGATATATGTTCGTGTAAGATTGGTTAGAATTCAACTAGCTGATTAAGATTAAAGTTTCGTCGACCAATGCGAAGCACTTGCTAATTTCCATTACCGATGCGCGACACAACACATGGAACGAAAGAATCCTCGTTCCTTTCTGCCTTCCCTAAGCGATTAGATTCCGAGTCGACGAAACTTGCTTCTCGCTGAATTACGAAATGACTAAGAACGATCGTTGCTCAACCGACGATGAGAAGGAAAGAAAATGAATCGCTTCAGATGCAGAGCTTACTTTTCTAAGAAAAATCTGGTAAATTCTACGGAAGAGAAAAGAGAAAGGAATTGCTGTTGCGAAAAGAGAAAGAGAAGAAACAAGGAAAGATATGCAATGCGCGTCTCACACAGGTGTAGAAATCACGCGGCAAACTTGCGGCTGCGATCGTTCTGCATCTATCGATTCAATCGATTTAGCTGACGTGTAGCTTTTCTCGCTGCATAAAATTATTTAAATCTATTTATACGTCTGTAATTAGACATAAACGAATAAATGAATGATAAAATAACAATTTCGTCAAGTTTTAAATTTGTTCCAGCACGCAACAATCATGTTCTTGTTCATTCATAGGTACACCGCGTATCGTACGGACTATCGGATGGATTTTCACTAACAATAAGCCATAATAAATGGACCAATTCCAAGTTAAAACAAAAATTGGTTTTCCTGAGCGAGGCGCAGTAACGATAAAACCTGGCCCGAGGCAATAAAGGCAGCCAGGAATAACGGAGGTAGACAGAGAGATAGAGGTAGAGAAAAATGATGGAAAGAAAGAGAGATTAAAAGAGAAGAATCACGTTTCATATATGCAAACCGATGTACGGATGACAATTCTATTCTATCGTAACGCTATTCTACTCAAGTGTCTACGGAAAAAGAGAGACAGAAAGAGCACTACCGTTTACTCTATCAGAACATTTCGGGTTTCCGAAACGTGCGAAACTTTCTTATCGTTCAATCTCTATGTCGTTCGAATCTTCGTGGTACCGACAACGACGCGGAGCGGATTCGCTAAGTATAACAGTCAAGTGAAAACAGTCGAGTTGCACATTTATGATAAACATCACACAATATTCACAACACAATATACAAATTCCCTTGCATTCCTTGTTGTTTGTCACGATTTAGAGAGGGAGACTCAAAACTTACAGCGACAGGGCGCGATACGATGAAGGATGGTATGGAAAAAAAAGAATACAAAGATAGAATATGTAGAGTGAATCTGAAGAGAAAAATTAAAATGTATATATAAAGTAGCGTGCACGCACGCAAAAGAAAAGATATAGAAAGAAAGAGAGAGAGAAATAAAAGATGAAACAGGGCAATAAGAGAAATAAAGGACATTTTAAATAGGAAAAAAGGCGAGATGCTGAAGGGAACGATCATGCGAGTTTTTCACAACGACGCTCTATGTCTCGTGGACGTTTCAGCAATTCATATACACCTCAAGCCAGTGGCAGACCAGGACAGATGACGACCGCAGCGAGGTATTATAAAACGATGGGAAAATTGAGCTCAAAGAGGATAAGACTAGAGATACTATGTAATAGAGATAGATATGAAAGAGAGAGAGATAGAGATAGAAAGATATATATAGAGAGAGGCTTTACAATGCGATTGGCTTACCTTCAGCGTAACGAAACAAGACTAATAAGACCGAGGAATCATCGTGATGGAAGCGCCTGTGACCGTCGATTTAAAAAGGAAAGAGAAAATTCTTCGAAAAGAAAAAATTACGATTGCTCGTCTCGCAATTGAATCGTCTCACTTCTAAAAGCGAAATTAGGAAGAATAGAAGATAATAGGACAGTTTGCTGTACGGTCATCGTTTGGTTCTACTTGATACTTTCTTTTTTACAATAAAAATTATTCTGAAAAGGTCGACGACAAATCATGGACGAGCAAGCGTGACTTAACGAAATTCAATCCAGCTTATCGTTAGAGCGAGTAGAGTATAGGATACAAATAGAGAGGTGGACAGACTGAAAATAAAGCTCGCGTATCTCCCAGCGACCAAACACCTTAGAGCATTGCGTCTGCGTGTACCATATCCCGTTATTACCTTATCCTTTACGTTTTGTCCTAGCGTGTCCCACTCGACAACTCGAGCGATAGGCTTGGCAAATTAATCCCTACATCGCGTGAACTTTATCAAATGGCCTTGGTGGCGCGGACACACACACACACCCACACGATGACCAACGTAGTTGAAATTGTATTTTAAAAGGGAAAAGAAAAATGAAAGAAAAAGCCAGCATCTACACTGCTTAGAGTACTTACAAAGACAATACTCGAAAGATGACGAGTACAATATTGCTCGGTAAAATATCTAGCGCGTAAATTGGATAGGAAATTCAAGTATATTATTTATGCGAGGAATCAATTTGCCCGCGAATCATTGTTACCCAGTTTACAATTCCTGTCGTGCGTGGGGATCGAACGACGACGAGTCAGAAAGAGACGTATACCAATATATGTATGCAGGTCGTCTTCCCGCATCCAACTTTATAATAGAAGATAGAACGGACTAACTACTAAAGGCGTCGTATAGAAAGACGAAATGTGTAGCCAATAGAATGAGAGAGCGATCGCCGTGTGATTGAATTTTCGAAGTTTTGCCCGGCTTTTGGAAAATATTTAAACAATTACTCGAGACATTCGTTTAACAAAAGTTGGCAAGATTTAACGAAACGTGCTGACTTTGGCTTATACAATCGAGAAAACACTTCGAAAATACAGGGTATCATCACCGATGACTCTTTCGAATTATAGAAAATCTGTTGTAGCTTGTCACAATATTCATTGTTGATGTGTTTGTTACCTTTCGTTAACTAGCTTGTCAGTGAAGGGGTTTCGTGGTTGTCGCTTCATAATATCGCTCTCTGCCTCCTCGTAGGCTAGCGAGATGGCGGGTACCTGACGTCACATTATCAAAGAGCTCAGTAATAACGCCAACAATTAAATAACGAGAATGTCTGCGGATGATGTTGAAGTAAGAATGCTGACGTGTCGTTCATCTTATTGAAAATTTAGCCGTTGATCTCTACACACTACACAATCTTAACAAGATATAAAAACAGCCTCAAGATAAGATTGTAGCCGAATCGACAGCATTCTTTTATATACAATGAAGCATAGAAAATAAAAATAATCAACTGAAAGATGAAGAAACTAAATTGTTTAAGAAATTGATTATGGGAAGGAATCGAGGGAGTTGAGAGGAAATTTGCGGTATCTCGCGTGGATAAACAGTAAGCAGCTTTCTCGCAAAGATTAAGTTCCTGAAAAGAAACGTTAAAACCAACATTCTCTCATTACGACAAATCTCTATTCCGACCCAAGTGCAAATTCATTGTTCATACTTTCACGTACTTTGTTCAAGTAAAAAAAATTTTTTAATCCCTGTAAAATAATTTATCCAAGTTACACTTTTGTTTCATCTGAAGCTCCATCAGCCCAATTAATCTAAAAGGAAATAAAGATATTCAAGAGATTAATCGATGAGCACAAGTTGCTGACCGCCATCCTGACTGGTTCAAATGCATCGCTAGCTATAGAAAAAGAAGATGGTCGAACAAATTTTCGAGCAACTGTTGGTTTACATTGTACAGTTGTCGTGTCAGGCTTAGCATTCCAAACATATCACGCCGGTACCTATCAATCAATACAAGTGTAAGGATAATCTTTAAGAAACAGTCGTGGCTTTATGACTACATTAGCTGTTACATCATGATGGAAAATGCGGACGCTGAAATAATTCGATTAACCAATAAGGAGGAAAGCGTTCGAGTGGCAACTTTCGAAGAGCGTTTCCACGAGGTGTGAACGTCTCTTTCGATTATTGTTACTCGACTCAAGTCAATACTTTCTTGTAGTATTTCGTGACTCACCATGTCAGTTCCTAAATCGATGCAAAGGATGGTGACGGTACCCAGCGGCAAAGGGATGTCGCAGAGGATGAATGCCAAGAAAGGCGAGATTTCGGGTATGTTCGAGGTCAGGGTGTAGGCGATGGACTTCTTTAGGTTGTCGAAGATCAAACGACCCTCCTCCACGCCTGTTACGATCGAAGCAAAGTTGTCATCGAGTAGAATCATGTCAGCAGCTTGCTTGGATACGTCCGAACCAGCGATGCCCATCGCGACACCAATGTCGGCTTTTTTTAGAGCAGGCGAGTCGTTCACACCGTCGCCTAAAGAAATTAAACAATTGTTTCAATTACAGACAATTGTTATGTCACGATTAATAGAATGCTCGTGTTAAAAAGGGAACTGGCTTATTCAATCAAGAGAAAATTGAAAAAGAAAACTTTTAATCCCCAACAGTTTCCTCGTAATGCGTTGCTAGATGTATTATAATAATAAAAAGATTCGTGTTAATTTCGTTCACTTACCAGTTACAGCGACAATCGCGCCCATTCGCTGGCAGCCTTCGACGATGATGAGCTTCTGCTGGGGCGAAGTACGGGCGAACACAATTTCGGTGTGGTACCTGAGAATCTCGTCCAATTGGTCGGAGTTCAGTTCCCTGAGTTCGGTTCCGTGAATGACCGCGGCTTTAGCCTCGCGAGGATTTACTTCGGATACCGGAATATTTAACCGTTGTGCAATGTCCTCAATGGTTTCGTTACCTAAAGAAGATGGAAATGATATTAACAAAATTGAAATAAATAAGAGAAAGGCTGATTCTTTTAAGAGAAATTGAAACGACAACAATTACAGACAGCAATACGATTATTGAAAGCGAATAATTGTTGTACGCATTATTTGGACAAGGCGAATATTACTTGGCATTATCCGCCAAAAAAACCGCCCCAAATTCCGCGTATAAAGATCGTTGTAAATCTTAAGCGCGGCTTATTATCTGAAATTACGTCTCATTAAGAGATTAAGAGAGCATCGTAAAAGCATCATAATCGAGATCGACGAGCAAGACTTGCAAGATACCGCACGCGATATCTAATCTTGAACGTCATCCGAGAATTGTTTATGTGATAAAGTGTATAGAAGCATAAAGTACATAACGCGCGAGATGTTACCTTCAGAGATGATGCCGACGGATTTGGCAATGGCTTTGGCAGTGATCGGATGGTCACCGGTAACCATGATGACCTTGATGCCGGCGGAACGGCACTTGGCGACCGCGTCGGGCACCGCAGCCCGGGGCGGATCGATCATAGACATCAGGCCTACGAAGCGGAGCCCGTCGACTGGGAAGTTGAGATCGTCGGCATTGAATTTGAAGCCAACCGGGAACTTGTCGGACGGCAGTGTGTAATCACAGAAGCCGAGCACTCGTTCGCCGAGTCCGCCCAATTCCAAGTAGGCGTTATTGAACGCCTCCTTCATCTCTTCGTCGAGAACCTACCGAGGAGGCCGAGGAGTTAAAAATTTGAAAACGATATGGAGTCGATGGGTGAAATGGAATGAATGAAACCGACGAGTTACCTTCTCTTTGCCGCCGATAAATATGGTCGAGCACCTGTCCAGGATCCTCTCGGGAGCACCTTTCATCACCAAGAGATGTCTAGGATCGTTGGGATCGTCCGATTCGTGAATGGACACCTGATACTTATTAGTGGAATTGAAGGGGATTTCGCAGGCTTTCTTGTTGCGTTTCCTAATGCCCATGACATCGCCCAACGCCAGTTCCATGCACTTGAGCAACGCAGCCTCGGAGGCGTCACCGTTCACCTCTCGCTTCAGAATCGACTCACCGTCCTGGCCCGGCTTGAACTCGGCGCGATTGCAGAGGGTCGCGATCTTGGCGAGCGCCTTGAATCCCGGACTAGTGCGGTCGTACTGCAAGCCGGACTGATCCTCCGTGGTGTCGGCGTCGATAATCTGATTGTCGAACCACATGTGCGCCACCGTCATACGATTTTGCGTGAGGGTTCCGGTCTTGTCCGAGCAGATGGTGGAGGTCGAGCCCAGAGTCTCCACAGCCTCGAGATTCTTCACCAGGCAGTTCTTCGAGGCCATTCGCTTGGCGGTCAGAGTGAGGCACACGGTCACAGTAGCGAGGAGACCCTCCGGCACGTTCGCCACGATAATACCGATTAGGAAGATGACGGCGTCGAGCCAGTGATAACCCAGGATGAAGGCTATGACAAAGAATGTGACGCCGAGGAAGACAGCGACACCGGTAATGAGGTGTATAAAGTGATGAATCTCCTTGGCGATCGGCGTTTCGCCGGTATCCAAACCGGACGCGAGACCCGCGATCCTTCCCATCACCGTCTGATCGCCGCAACAGATCACCACGCCTTTGGCCGTGCCTTCCACCGCATTCGTCGAGAAGAATGCGAGATTCTTCGTTTCGAGCGGGTTCTCGTTCGTGAACTCGGGCGACCTCGATTGCGGCTCGGACTCGCCGGTCAGCGAGCTGTTGTCCACTTTGAATCCACGGGCCTCGATGATCCTGACGTCGGCCGGTATCCGATCGCCGAATTTCACCTCGACGACGTCGCCCAGCACGAGATCCTCCGCCCGTAGGGTGAGCTTCTCACCCTCCCGGATCACGGTGGCGAATTGTGGCACCATGTTCTTGAACGACTCCATAATCTTGCTCGACTTGCTCTCCTGGTAGTACGAGAATATACCCGTGACTATTACGACCGCCGCGAGGACGACGCCCAGGTAGAGATTGTCGTCGTTCGGGTCCTCGCTGGTCGTGGCCTGGATCGAGTACGCGATGAAGCAGAGGATCGCACCGATCCACAGCAGGAGGGCGAAACCGCCGAACAGGTTCTTGCAGAACTTGACCCATTCCGGAGTCTGCTTCGGTGGCGTCAGGGCGTTCGGCCCGTCTCTTTCCAGGTTCTCCTTCGCTTTCGCGTGGCTGAGGCCCTATTGTTATTTTTATAACAATATACAAATATTATTAACGTCTCTCTCTCTCTTTCTCTCTTCATTAATCGATCCTTCAAATCGCCCATTTAACATTGTTCAGCGCCGTCAACTAATTCCCACACATTCTAACATCTTTCCATTTGTATTTTATTCCACCCTTGCAGAAGAGAAGCTATAATATTTTCCTTTCGTCGCGGCGTTCAACGTGTTAATGTCGATTGATACGCTGCGCAATCTCATAGCACGATGTTACTTACGTTTTCGGGGTGCGTCTGAAATCTTTGATACAGTTCCTCGGGTGAGATTTTGTGGAAGTCAATGTCCAACTCCTGCTTCAGGTCATCTAGGTTGTCCCCCCTTCGCTTTGGGTTCTTCCGCCGCGACTGTTAACGGGAACAGACAGAGAGAAAAAGAAGGTTATTCTGATAACATCTCCACATCGATGCTGCGTACACAATCTTAATACAGCTACAATTACAAAGCTCCGAAGCGATTACACCGTAGATTACCGCGACGCGTTATCTCTGATCGACGAGATGCTCTGATAATTGACAAGGTAGCGAAGAAAGACAAGATTATCGAATTTCAGAAATCGAGATTGAAAATCCAGCGACGAGCGAGGACAACCTCTGTAGCAGAAGAAATCGACTGCAACGATATCGTCGAGAAGGGGGTGAACCGAGCTGTAATGATATCTCGTAAGATGTGTGTGTGTGTGCGCGCGCGCGCGAGATAGGATTGCACTAGAATGATAGGAATGTTTCCGAGTCATGCGATGTCAGCGAAAATAATTGATGAGTAACCAAGTTCCAGTGTGGACGACGAAACTATATAAAATAACGTACATTATTTCGCGAACAATTGAGTGGAGACTCCTCCACTTCTTGCTTTTTATTGTTAAGTACATTCGGTGCAATCATATCTCACCCTACGCAATGTTATTGAATAGAGGGTACGGAGCTTTCTTTTTTTAAGAGAATGTAATTATTACTGTGTCGATCGTCGAGTCATTGAAATGCGAAATTACAACGTCGGGATCTAATCGAAGAATTCGATCACCCAAATCGCGAACAAACTTCTTTTATCATGCGTTAAGATGATTACGATTACGAAGCTGACGGCAAAGTGAAAACGCGAAGGAGCTGAAAGATTCAGAAGTGCGATAGCGAAAGAACGAAGAAAATTTCCTTCGGGGAAATTTCTGTCGAGGCACAGTTAGAAGAAAAGCGTTACGGCAATAGACATCGTTACCATGAAGAAACAATGAAATTACAAACATCAGATAGAGGAAGCAATGAGAAATAGAGGAAGAGAAAGAGACAGAAAGGGTGAAAGAGAGAGGAGTGAAAAAACCTCCCCCAAACGTTTATCCCATCTGCTGGTCAAAGAAGCGTAGTACCAGAACCCAGAGATGTTAATTATATAGAATTCGTATAGACATAGAGTCCATCTCTGAATATACCTTGTACATCCCATCTGCGGTTTTGTTGTCGTCGCGAATGTTGGGTAACGTGGCGACCCTGTACGAGTCTGAGCGGCCATGCTGTAAAAAATGGGCGATAAAAAAATCATGAATAAAACATGCGGGCGTAATACAACAAAATACAAACAGTTGAAACAAATGTTCGGGTATCCATGGTAAAAATATAACTTAAAAATAACAATGATGGGCAGGTCGAGGTTTGTTCGAGTGAGCGCCGTTTTTCCCGCGTAGGTAGGTAGGTAAACCTACGATCGCACGAATAAACGCCCGGGGAGCCGCGCGGGTACAGAATCGAGAGATGTTTTTTTCCCCCCCTTTACAGAGCCAGGCGAACGTCGATCTCATGTGAGTTGGTTACTTCAATCTTAAATGCGAGTGGGGTTGCGTGACTATTCGGATGGCGCCGCGATTCTACGTCGTCGTCCGAATGGACCAGTTTTCTCACAGTGCCCGCGGTCGTACCGCTGCGACCTTCTCATGAAAGAGAGAAAGAGAGACAGAGAGAGAGAGAGACACGTGGCCGGCGCGCATTCGACACGTGACATCGGTGAGAGAGACGTCGGCGGTGCGCGGAACAGAAGCCCGATTTTCAAGAGCGACCTCGGCACGACCGCGTTCGGATAACGAACGCTTCCGGTAGTGTGCCGGTTCAATGGAGACACCACTCGTCACCGTCCACTACGCCCGATGCTCAATGGTATCCCGTAATCGCGATTACGAGAACCCGCGCGAGAACGACGTTTCGCCTCGTGTTCGCCGGCAGGACAGCCGACAGGAAACCTTCAACTTTTCCCTCTCTGCGAATCGCCGAGAGTCAGGATTGCGTGTAGACAGAGTTTAGACAGAAAGACGAGCCGTTGGAAAATAAAGTCACTTATCTCATCGCTATTTCTCTTTTCACGAGATTCCAGCGAGGTTCCTAAAGTTCTGCGCGAATTTACGAGAAACGCGACACAGGTGACAAGTGACTTGCGTATCGCTCGTAATAAATCTTGTACTGAAAAAAACATCTGATAGATTCAACCAGTCGTCTGTTAGAAAATGGACGAATCAGAATTCCTTTAGGATTTACCAGAAGTGTAGTGAAGTCTAGCAAACTTCTACCTTTCATAACCAGAAGTTTGCTAGACTTCGCTATACATCTGGTCCTGAAGGAATTCTGATTCGTCCATTTTCTAACAGACGACTGGTTGAATCTATCAGATTT